TTAACACTTTACCGACCGGTAGCGGTTCGAACATACTATGCCCTTTCACCGCCCGTTCAGCTGCAGATCGTCCGAGACACCGGCTCGGTTTCGGCCTAGACTGACGCGCGGACTTCACCACTAAATATCAAAAATTACAAATATGATATAAAATGCAACGTTAAATCATCAATATACTGGTTACTGTATTAAAAAGTAGGCGTAACTATCTTTCTTTAACTAATCTTACAAAATATTTTGCTACCACTTTATTAGAACTTTTCCAGAAAGCGGAGCAGTTGGCATCCCTGCCTTCATATCGATGAAAAAATCCCGACTTTCCTCGCAGGAAAATCTAGTCGCACCCAGCTGCACGATGAAAAATCCCGACTCTTTTCGCAGGAAAATCTGGTCGCACCCAGCTGCACTCGAGAAAACGACAGCTGAATTTTTTTCAGGGCATGCTGAATTGGTGGAAAACGTAGTCACCACAGATCGGTCAAAAGTCGATTAATCGACGACCGGTCGGTATGCGCTGAGAACAAAACGTCGATTAATCGACGGCCGGTCGGTAAAGTGTTAACAGTTCTTTTTTTCCCAATCTCAATAGTGGTTGGGAAGTGAGCTGGGTGTAAATCAGTTTTATGAAAGAATATCCGTAGCCGTTGTCCGTCAAATTGTTAAACAGGGTTCTCGAGAAGCCGGTTTACATTATGTATGTGGAAGCTAGCCTTCTTTCTCCGTGTATATTTCGTGTTATAACTTTTTGTAAAGTGAAAGAGCACATTACACGAACTAGATGACATCACAAAGACGAATTACAGGTTATGACGGGATTTAATCCCGTTACCTTCCTTACAGGGCACTTGACGGACCGAAGAGACCGTTTGGCCAGAATGGTCTTACAGTGGTCGATAAAAAATAGTGCCGTTACTAGATAAAAACTACTATAATTTTAATGGTTTATTGACACAAGAAATAGAGACAGTTTTTATCTCGTCGTTCCTAAAAAGTTTAATAGGTTAACAAAAACTAAACCGTTAAATAAAAACTTTTAGAACTTATTGAGCATAACTACCTGACTCCAACATTTGATTTGCACGAATCTTTTCCTACCAGATTTTTGGCACGGCATTCATAGATACCGGAATCGTTGATACGGGGATGTGGCAATGTAAGAATACACTTATCTCCTTCCTTGAGGATTGAATACTTGACCCCAGAGGTCAGTTTATCCCTGTTGAAGTACCATTCAACATCAGGTTCGGGAATGCCTTCTACGCGGCAGGTCAATTTCATTGGTTCGTTCGTTGTGCACTAAAATGGAAAAACGGAAACAGTCATTCTCACACAGTCAATTCAGAGCCGTTTTTATTTATTTTTAAACTACTTACTTGTGTATCGCACAGTCGTTCGATGAAGTGAGGGGCCATATAAGCTGTAACTTTAACTTTTGCTCTGGAGCTTGCATCTCCTAAAATGTTTGAGACTTTGCATTCGTACACTCCTTCATGCCGAGGATTGCATCTATACACCGTTAATGCCGCCTGTAACAGAAAATTTAAAAAAATAGTAGAAATATTTCTTATTTTATTTTGAGAAAAGTTCTTTACAATCGATACTCATTAATTCAAGTGACATTTTTATTGAAACACAACATTATCAGAAAATTTGGTTTGCATCTTTTGTATAAAAATACATTTTTTTAAAAAGAAAAAACAGAGTTAGAATTTGGCAAAGAAAAAACTTAAAAGTACCATAAAGACAACCGAGAGGCTAGGTGTACTTTATTCGTTTAGCATTTATATAATAATATTTTATTCTGGCTTCAGTAAGCGATAAACGTCGATAGCCTAATTATAGGTATACTTTTACGTTAGATATTCTGAATCAAATTAGCGTAAGTTAAATGAAATATTGAGTAGTTAAATTTCAAAACATTGAAAAAGCATAGAATAATATTGGCTCATAACTTTTAATTCTTATAAGAAGTGTATTTGTCAAATCATAAAAAGCCGTATTATAAGTCATAAGTCATGGACTATTTCAAAAATAATCAAGATCAATTATCAAGAGATAAAAATTACTGTTAGAGCTGATTTTAAGAATAACGTTTTAAAAGTACAGTGGTACCATTAAAAATTAAATTAAATTGCATATAGAGTCATTAACTGAATTTAAAATTAACGACTCATATAAAGTTAGGAATCACTATAAAATTCCAGCATTACATCATTAAAGTGCTGCATCAACTTTTGGATCAAAATTCATAAGTTGGATGATCGATGCAAATCTAATCAAAGGAAAGTAATTAAAAATCAGAATAACAAAATTCAAAATTCATCTAAGTATTGACTGCTGCACATTAATTAAGAATACATTGAAAATTGTCAAAAATCGAGCATAAAAAAAGTTTTAACCGGACGTGCTAAAGACCGATAAGTAACTATTCTTTGCTGCCTAAACTTTTTTTTTAAATTTATTTTATTTCTTCAGAAAATGGGTAAATTTACCCCAGTGGGTAAAGTAATTCCTGATGGATCATGTAAGAAGCTCTCCTCTTTTTTTTCTCTACAAAAGTGACTTGAGGAGTTATACAACTTTTAACTTAGAATGAGTACGGAAATTAACAGTTTGTTGGAGTGAGAACTTTTATTTTTTCATTTTCTACTAGTTTGAACTATAATTTTACTGTTGGTACTAGTAAGAGAAAGTTAAATAAATTTATTTTTTGAGTATCAATGAACATTTAAACATTTATAACGAACAATTCCCTTCATTTAATTTATTCCGTTAACTGGAATAAATCTCATTAACTCAATTTTTTCCAGATTAATTTTATTACATTCTTTCAAGGAATCCATAAAATATTTTTTCAACTTTTTAGTATTAAAAAGTAAATTTTACTATCTTTTTTTACGTCAAAGGACTAATAAAATAGCGCAGAGTTTGGCTAGCTATTTTAAAAATAAAATAAGCAGTGGTTTACATTGTGGTGATCCATAATTACCTTCACTTTTCTTTATCTGTCAATCACAATTTTCACGAAGTGAAACTTTTGAATTGAAACTGAAACCCAGAATTGGGAACTCAAACTTAAATCTGTCTATCAAAATTCTAATCCAATAATCTAATTTCTCAAATTAAATCTAGCCAATCACTACATGTTAATGGTGTGGCTAATTTGTTTCTCTGGTGAGATCCGAACGGAACACGAACTGAACTTTCTCTGCCAAAACTCAATGCAAAAGGACGTGCAATCCTAACTCTCTATTAATCTTATTATTTTGCAGGTAGCGTATATATATATATTTGTGATGTGGTTAATAAGCGCTTAATATTTAACCTGAAAACTTTTTGATACTTCAAGTGTGCGTACACACTCAATCCCATAACATAGTGGGTACGCAAATATGACCCACTGCGTTCTGTAACTAAGCCGACACCCCAAAGAAGTAGTGGCTTTTAGTGTTTACCTACAGCTGACTGAATAAATAATTTGAACCCAAGATTGTATGGAAAATAATTTAGTTTGAGTTACCTTTTTTCCGTCAAAAGATGGTAAAATGGTGTCAGAGCATGAAATAGGCTGGCCATCTAAAAACCAATGGACGTCAGGAAGAGGGTTTCCAGATGTAGTCGCCTCCAGTTTGAAATTGTCTCCTTCTTGCACCTTCAGGTCAGTAAGTGGAGTTACAAAAGCGGGAGCTTTCTTTGACTCTCCCTCAATTTCTCTGTCTAAGAAAAAAAAAATAATTAACATAATTTCAAGCAAATGATAAATTTGTAATGAAATAAAATGCTCAACATGAATGGAAGGGATTAAATACAAAATGATTTATCTGCCACAAATTTCACGCCTCGCATTGTGCCATATTTTATACATACTATTAAGAGTCCCCAAAAATTGCCTGACGATTTGAAATATTACTTAAAAAAGCGGAAGGAGACAAAAGTACGATTGGCTTCTTACTCAGGAAACGAGACATTCATCCCAACCAAGCTTCAGAATTTGTTACAAATTTCTTCAACACATATTTTCAAATTACTATCTCTAGTAGTTCGAGTACAAAGTTAACAGACACTCGTATAAACATTTCAGTTTAAAAGGTCTAACAATTAGCAAAAGAAAAAAAACACACCGATTTATTGATTTTTAGCCAATCGGGCAAACTATTGATAATTTTGCAATTAAATTTAAAGTTTAGAGAAAATAAGTACAGTCGAACCTCGCTAACTCGAGCCTCGATTTCACGAATTTTTCGATGTATCGAAGAAAAAAAAATTCCCTTCAAATTTCCTATGCACTCTATGTTTAAAAAAACTTGATTTTTCGAATTTTTTTTTTCTAATCCCTCGATAACTTGAATATTTTTTCATAAATAGTGTAGATTTCTTTTCTGAAAATAAAAAAAATATTCCAGAAAAAAAATTAAGAATAGAAAAACGATTTTTATAATCATAACCAATTCTCAAATAAGCACTTTCGGCAGTGGACACTGTAAGGAGATTTATTGAGAGGCAGCTGAATATGTCAGAGAAGACATTTAAAGTTATAGTCAACTTAGAAAGTGTTATAGACAAACTTTCTTACACATCTCTAAAGCAAACAACAATTGAATCTTTTTAAGTGTTTTTTGAATGAATATGGAATAGTAAATAAGGTATGTAAAGAGCATTTTTCTTTATTTTACCATCGGCAACATGCGATTTTCGATAATTCGAATTTTTGGTATCTCGAATTTTTTCTCCTCTCCCTTCAAGTTCGAGATATCGAGGTTTGACTGTATCTGTTTCCTGAACTAGGACAGAAAAGCGGTTCAAATTTGAACCCTTTAATGGGCCATTTATTTCTTGTAAAGGTAAATTAAAGTACTTTTGGAATTGAAATTGATCTAAGAATAGTAATTGATATAAGAAAAAAAATTCATTTAGGTTATAAAAAATTAATCTAAATTTTAATGCCCTTTTTTTGGTGGTAAGTATATTCACCACGACCTATTAGAAACTTATTGACTTTTACTTTTCGATATTTATAAAATAAGTTTTATAAAGGTAACAAACTTCAAAAGGAATTATGTATTTTATAACTTTTATACGTTTTTTTAAACTAACAAATGGTTACTAATTTTATTCAAACGCACATAAAGAAAGCTGAAGTTATAAACAAATGGAAACCTAAATTAAAAGTGGTGAACTTTAAAAAGTGGTGGTAAGTATATTTACAACGGCCTTATAAAGAGTTAATGTAAATTTTTCTTTTTGCGTATTTCGTTTTATCTTGAGATCGAGAATTTTTTTTTAAAGCGAATTTAAATACTTTTGCACACAATTATAAAATTCGTTTATCCAAAGATAAATCCGTGCGAAAAATAACTTTAAGGAGAATTATTATTAATAATTAATTGATAAATAATAAATATTTTTAAAAATAAATATTAATAATAATAATATAATGAAAAAGAATATAATATTCCTAAAATAACTTTTAAGTATATTTATTGTTTTCCATTATTTTATTTAATAAAAATCGAAAAAATTTTGAATTGTAAGGTATGAATTTTTTTACATCATTTTAATTAATGTAATTTTACGTAGCAAAATTTTACATGGCAATTTTACATGGCAAATACAAAATTTGTACAAAATCAGTCGAATAGTTCCTAAGAAATCGAATATTAAAAATGCGACCTCTTAATTATCGATACGATTCATTATTATCAAGTTTTTCTTCAAATAATCTGAAAAATTATATTTGGAAAAAAAAATTGCTTACTGATTATAGTTAGAGGAGCTTCTGAAGTTTTTTCGCCATGTTTATTAACAGCCGTGCAAGCATATTTTCCTGCGTGGTCTGGACTAGTTTTGTCAAATATTAGAGCAACTTCTCCATTTGGAAGATGATGTTTTCGGATGCTTGGTTCATCATCAGTAACTTCGTTTCCGTCTTTGGTCCTGATATAAAACATTCTTTTAGCATTTGAGAAATATTATAGATATAGAGAAGAAAATTGTAATGGTAAAAAAAATGTCGAACTATTTTAACAGAAACTGATTCAACACTTTTAAATCTTTAAAAAAAGTGAGAATTAAAAATAGTTTTATGACATGGTGATCAGCAAAAGATTTTATAAAAAACGCAATATGAATTTATTTGTAAGTTTAATTTAGTAAGATAAGCAGACTCAAACCAAGAAGAAAAAAATTTACAAATATTGCACTAACCACTTAATTTCAGGCATTGGTTCACCAGTAACTTTGCATTCAAGTTTGGCTGGGCAATCTACAACTCCCGTTACTGAATTCAATGGTTTAATAAAAAGAGGTGGTTCTGAAAAAAAGGTCAAACTAATTTATAACAAATATTAGAACATGGCATTAAAATAGCATTTCATTTCGCAATAAATGTATTATAATGAGTCGTGGTGGCTCAGGGGATAGGGCGTTCGTCTTCAAATGAGGTAAACCGGATTCGAATCTCAGGTATGACTGGTTGATACGAATTCCGCATCTGGGTCGCACTGACCACAGTGCTGACGGATCATGTGTTAGAGTCTCCATGCCATCAGGCAAACTGTGGATGGTTTTCCTCTTTGTGTAAGGCAAATGCGGATTAGTTCCATCACAAAGCCCTCCATGAAGGAAAATTTCTTCTAATACTTGATCCAGGAGTTCCCTTTTCTTCTGGATTGGGTTCAAAATTACAAGGCTACGGAGTTGAATATTAATAGTTGTAAACCCAAAATAGGACCGGCTGTTCAACAACGGTTATAAAACAAAACTTTAAACTAAATGCCCATTAGCCCGTCTAGTACATATAGTTTGATAAAAAAAATCATCAGTTGTGATGCATTGCTTTGATCAACCCTTGTATATTTAGCCGTGGTAGCTTAGGGAATAAAGCTCTCGCCTCCCAGTGAGGGGATCCAGGTTCAAATCCAAAGGATGTCTGATTTTTGCTAATTCTGCTCCCGGCTCGCACTGACCACAGTGCTGACTGAAAATAACCTCAGTGGTAAACGTATCTTGGGTTAGAATCCCCTTGTCACCGGGACAACCTTGGAAAGTTTTTGTGATTTTCCTCTCTCTGTAACGCATAGTTACAGAGAGAGGAAAAAAAGTTTTCCACGAAGGCAAATTTCTTCCAATACTTGATCCATGAGTTCCCTTGTCTTCTAGATCGTGTTCAAAGTTACAAGGCTACGGAAGTTGAGCATTAGTAGTTGTAAACCCAAAATTGGGTCGGTCGCAAAATATAATGAAGGTATTATTATATCATTGTATGTTGAATTGACTTAAATATTATAGAGATTTCAAAACTGCCATTTCTGTAAATATGCATTAAAATGTTGCAAAATAGTGACTAACTGGTATCTGTACCTTTACTTGTGCTTTATTCACGTTGTTTTGCTTTATTCATACTATGCACAAACTATACCCTATCTTCATTTAAAAAGGTTTGTTTGATACCAAAATTCTACTTTATATAATTTCCTTGTTAGATCTGGTGAGATTTAATTGAACATACGGAAAAACTGAGCATTATCGGTTGAATTATTTTTAAATTTCAATTTTTGAGCCAGTTATTTTTCTTAGTTTGTCTGTTATTATGACTTTTTTACTACCCACATAACAGTGGTATCCAGAAAGTAACTTTCAAATGGTGGTTTAAAAAAAAATAAACAAGGTGATTCAATACATCGGATATGAACTCGTTAGGGAAGTAGGGTAAATTATAAAGAATGAGAATTGCATAACAACCAACCAAAGAATAGAAGTTTCATCGTATGGAGCTTTTCCAAATTATTAACTTATCATTCGTGTACCTTTCAATAGGTACTTTTAATTACCTTAATTATCTAAATTTTTTGCTTTTTTATAATTTTTGTTTAAAAATGTATTCAAATATCTTCCGAAATCACTGCTAAAAAGTCATTATCGAAATAGTAATTTAATGATTTGGCTGTTAATTTGACTAGCTTGGAGGCTTCCACGAAGTATTTAACTATTCCTTTTACCAAATACAAAAATAAGAAGTATTAGAACTAGCTTAAAGTTTGTGTTACAGTATACTATGTGGTAGAACACAAATTAGAATGCAAATCTTTGTAAACAATACTTAAAAATAAAAATAATATACTTACGAATCACTTCAACTTTAGCAGAACTTCTTGTTTCACCACCTATGTTTGAAACCAGAAGAGTGTATTTTCCCTCATCTTCAGGTTTTATATTCAAAATTTCAAGTGACACAGTTCCATCAGGTTCTTGGTGCATTAGAATCCTGTCACTTGGTTCGAGTGGAGATCCGTCTTTCAACCTAGGAGCACATAATAAAATTTAGTTTAGATATTTCTCAAAATTTACTGTTTCAGTTCATTATAGAGTGACTGCTTACGAATTATCTTTCAAAATGAAGAATTATCAATTCAAGAATTATCTTTTAAAATCAAGAATTTACCATGAACAGTGAAACTGATTATAAAAATAATTAAGAGTGAGTTAAGAGAATTTTTTATCTATAGAAGAGTTTACTGCAAAATAATGATAAGTAATAATTTTTTTTTCAATTTTCTTCGGAAAAAAAATCATTGACAAAAAGTTCTTCATTTTTTACGAAGCACAAATTTAAAAATTTACAGAAGAAATATATAATTTATGTTCAATATTTTTGCATGCAATATTTTAAATCTAAAATAATACATTAAATGGGAAATTGCACAGATGCTTGTATAAAATGAAAAATTGGTTAACATTTTCTTTTATTTTTATGCCTTATCACCTTTCTCACAATAATTGTTGATTTAGAAAAATAAATACTAAATTGTTAACTGACTGTGCGAAGTGAAGAAGGAGATTAAAACGAAAATGTAAAATAAATTTATATTTTTTAAAAAATATTTTAATGAAGCAATTGAGTGAGTTATTCTAGTAAAAATATTATGCTTTATTTTTTACGGCAGTAGTCACTCTACAGTATTGATAAAGTAGTCAATATTTGAAAACTACGCAACACAGTAGATATATGTTCTTTGAGTATTAACTTACCATTTTACTTCCGGTTTGGGTTCTCCATCAATTTTAGCAGTTAATTTTCCAGATTCTCCTTGAGTAAAAGAGGCAGGTTTTAAGGAATCAACAATTTCTGGCAATCTGAATCCATCTCCTACCATCCAAAATAAAATGATTGGAATTAAAAACGATTGCTTAGTTCATAATATGCAGGAATGTTTAAAAAATATAGTTTTCTTCTTGCTTCAATAGACTTAAAAATCAAACATGTTACGAACTTTATTTAGACAACGAGAAATGAAACTTCAGCACATCACTAGACTATTATTTTTATTATATCATCTTTATTAATATTTTTATTACATCATACTATTCGTCAAATGAATATTTAAGATTTTCTTGTAATTAATCGAAAGGCTTATCAGCGTGCAGGCAAAATTTAAAAAAGCTGGTTGTAAGATTTTGAAAATGTATTTCAAAGATCATGACTTTACCTTTCGAATTTAAAAAAAAAAAACAATTTCTGCTCAAGGAATTTTAAATCAGAAATGAAAAATAGTGAATATCCTTGATATATTTCAATATCCTTGTAGAACTTTACTATTTCAATTTTTTATTATAATGAGTCAACTATATACCAGAGAAGACAACTGCTCCGCTTTCTGCGAAAGTTTCAATAAATTGGTAGCGAACTAAATAATACAACTTGTAGAATAAGAATAATTACGTCCACGATTTAAAAGAGTAACAGCAAGATAAATGTTATCAGGCAGTTATAAAGATTTGGTTTACGTTCCTCAGGCCGATGAGATCCTTTACTCATTCATCATGAAATCCGGGAAAGTAAAAACTTTGAAGGGAACTGAGATTGGGGAGAAGTGAGCACATTGCTCATTAAAGCCCAGAGGACAAAACAGGAGATCTGGAAAAGCACAAGATCTTCATAGGAAAAGGAGTTGTGAGTCGTCAACAATCATGAAGTCTGCTGTACCTAACTTGAAGAAAACATCTAGATGTTTTGATTATTACTTTTCTCAACGAGGCAGTTAATATCACTAGACACCGTTACAAAATTAAACCTATCGCCGTCAGCAAAACTTTGCTTTACAGGTGACCCCTACTTCTGATAGCTGCTACGAACAAACGGGATCGCAAATGTCAGCAAACAGTTTGATAGCAAGCCTTACCGAACACGGTCACAGAAATCACGTTCTTCGAACTTTCCGCAACCACAATTGTTTACTGCCAGCTTGCAAAGTGTGTTCAGTTTGCCCTGCACGAAAACATTTTGAATTTTTGTCATGAAAACGTTGATCAGTTTACGATTCGCAGATGTCCTGCATTCCATAATACTTGCTTCCTAAAGACACAAAGGAGGAGGAAATCATAATGGTAAGAAACTCGACTGGTACCCAGAACATCATCGGTGGGAAGGTGGAAGTACCCGGAACACATCCTCCATCATCAGCGGGAAGTACCCGGAATACATCCTCCATCATCAGTGGAAAGGTGGAAGGACCCGGAACCCATCCTCTATCATCAGCGGGAAGGACCAGGAACACGTCCTCCATCATCAGCGGGAAGTTGAAAGGACCCGAAACACATCCTCCATCATCAGTGGGAAGGTAGAAGTACCCGGAATACATCCTCCATCATCAGCGGGAAGGTGGTGGTACCAGGAACAAATCATTCATCATCCGCAGGAAGGTGGCTCGAATCCCCTGCTGGGCCTCACGACAGATACAATGAAGATGCATTTCATATGATACTTTGATTTTTTGTTATGAAGTGGTGGGAAGATTACTTAAAATGAAAAATACTAAACTGAAAACAACTCAAATTTCTTTACCATTAGAAAATACTTTCTTACAAAGAGCAGAAACTTGACATCTCTGATATATATTTTTCGCAGGTGATTGAAAAAATCCAACGTCACAATGCTATGTTTGCGGCTAATTGAAGAGGTACCACATGCACCTACATCTGTAAGAAGTGGTAACTAATAAAATGGAAATCTATTAAAATGGAAATCTATTAAAAAGAGATTAAGTTAGCAATTTTTCCCGGCACATTTCTTTCAGTTTACTTTTGAAAGTGAATACAAAAAGAAACTAGCGATGGTTCGACGAAGGCTACCCTTTTAGATGATGGTGAAAATAGTGCAAAAATGTTGCTTGTACTGATAGTACAGTAGGTGAAGATCTTGATTACCTATTACTAATTATCAGAAGACAATTGCATACTTGCCATCTTTTACGCCATTCATAAAAATAAATTTAGTTTTTGACACTTCTTACAATTTTAGACGCACGTGGTATCCATGCAATTGCAGAAGTTTCTACCATTTTCTAATCAGCCTGACAATTTACAGGCTTATTGCAACGAGCCCATTTTTATTTACATCTTCGTTTCGAACTGATCTGGTTTGGTTTCATAATCTAATACATAGGTGCAACTACTAGATACTTCTCTACTCGTAAATCAGAGAGCGTTACTTCTAACGGACCTGGTCCAGTCATAGTTTGCAAAGATAGAATAAACGGTCGTCAAAAGCATTATTATTTTTTTGATAGAAGAAACGCTTTTAGCTCATTTTCTAAAAGAGGGTGCAATGCTGAAGCAGTAAATTTAAAATTATAGAGTCGCGGTTGTTCAGGGGGAAGATCACTCGCTTTCCAATAAGGTGACCCAGGTTCGTATCCCACGATGGCTGGTTGATATTAATTCCGTTCTCACCTCGTATTACCCACAGTGATAACGTAAAAATAGCCTCGGTGGTAGACAAATTATTGGTTAGGCGTCAGGCTAACAGTGAGAGGTTTTCGTGTTGGACATTTACACTTAAATGTATACGTTAGATTTTAATAAATTAGAATCAAAAGGATTTTATTCTTCACTGTATACTAATATTTAAACAGATATACAAAACGTCCGCTAAGAAAATGGTAATGCTAAGTTCTAATAATCAGTAAATAAATTTTCTTTAGATTCTAAAATATGTTGATTTATGGATAAAAGCCTAACCACATTTTTTTATAAACGAAATTTAATACCACTGCAATATTTGATTAGGAGTGTATTTCAGAAAACCGACTTTTTTGCTACATTTAATTGCAATATTATTTTATGTTAGAACCGTCGTTGCACAGCAGACTCAATTTTTTGAGTTTACGACAACTTATGTTCAACTCTGTAGCCTTGTAATTTTGATCCCGATTCAGAAGACAAGGGAACTCCTGGATCAAGCATTGGGAGAAATTTGCCTTCGTGAAGGACTTTTATAACCCGCATACTGGAACTAACCCGCATTTACGTTACATGAAAGGGAAAACCACGAAAACCTCTCACGGTTAGCCTGACGCCAAGAGGACTCTAAAACATGATCCATCTACCACTGAGGATATTTTACGTCAGTACTGTGTTCGGTTCAAGCTGGATGCGGAATTCATATCGACCAGAAATGGATTCGAACCCAGTTCACCTCATTGAAATGCGAACGCTCTATCCCCTGAGCCATCATGGCTCATTTAATTGTAATTTACCGTATTCAGCGTTGCACCCTATTTTAGAAAATAAATTGAAAGTATCAGGCGTTCAAAGAAGAAACTACCATAGTGAGTACTGCCTACGCATTGTCCTAAAGTATGAAAGTAAAGCCATGTTCGTTATAGTCTATAGGCGTAGCTCAAAAACGTTAGGAATTTATTTGAAAACCTGCTTTTAGTTAATTTTTTAACCCTTTAATGGGCCATTTATTTCTAGTAAAGGTAAATTAAAGTATTTTTGGAATTGAAATTGATATAAGAATACTAATTGATATAAGAAAAAAAATTCATTTAGCTTATAAAAAATTTATCTAAATTTTAATGCCATTTTTTTGGTGGTAAGTATTTTTACCACGAACTGTTAGGAACTTATTGACTTTTATTTTTCGATATTTATTAAATAAACTTTATGAAGGCTACAATCTTGAAAAGGAATTATGTATTTTATAACTTTTATACGTTTTCTTAAACAAACAAATGGCTACTAATTTTATTCAAACACACTTAAAGAAAGCTGAAGAACAATGTAAAAACCTAAATTAAAAGTGGTAAAAAAGTTCCCCATGGACTTTAAAAAGTGGTCGTAAGTATACTTTCCTCTGCCTTAGAAAGGGTTAAAACAATGGCATCGCTTAACCGGTTAACGCCCAGCGTCATATATTTAGGACAGTTCCTTTTTTCAAAGACATTCATTGTGGTGGGAAACTTTTTTCAGCATTTTCATATATCTGGGTGAATTAAAAGATTCTCAGATACCACAATGATTTAGTTATTTCTGATTAGATCTAGAATTATAAGGAACAAGTACTTTTTGATCTATCAAAGACTTTTTGAATGCCATAACAGTGGAAAAACCAATTAATTTCGATAATATATTAAACCACTTTTTCCATATATAAATTCGGGACAAAACGGGTTAATCGGTTACAAATCTACCACTTTTTTATTAGATTCCATTGCAAAAAAAATGAAAATTATTTGCAAGTATTTAATTACCTACAACAGCCACCATTGCGGAACTTCTAGTTTTTCCTTCATCGTTAGTTGCGATGACAACATATTTACCAGAATCTTCTGGAGTTGCACCTTCAATGATGAGCGCAACTGCACCATTTGGCTGTTCCAATATTTGTATTCGGTCTCCCTTTAGTACGTCGTCGCCATCTTTCATCCTTACAATTTGGAACAAAAAGTTTATAAGCAAATAATACAGTTTTAGAACACAAAAGCAATATCTATCTATTCTATTTCCATGTAAGAAAATTAGCAATAAATTTAAAGTTCTTGTGTAGTAATTGAATGATTGCACGCGTCTTTTATTTTTTCATTAAACACTTGAACGTTCATGTCCATTTTGAATTATAGATAAGCTAATTTGAATGTATAGCTTTTCAATAATATTTATTTAAAAAAAAGTTGTTTCTGTCTGCAATAGCTCTATATCTTACTTCACGGGGTAATAAATCTACTAAATTGAATTTATTAAACTAAGAATCACAATTGATAAGCTACCACTTTAAAATACTTATTTGCTGTCCGGAGCAAGTTGACATCTCTGGGTAATATTGTCATTCATAGTATATCTCCTATTGTCGAAAACTATGAGTAAAAATAAACTAAAGTTGCACTTAAAGTAAAAATTAAGAAGCTACTTTTCCACCACAATTTTTTTTTAAAAACTTTACTGCTTAACAATTTTGTTTCGTCTTGTAATAATGAATGTGTAACACAGCAATGCCATTCTATCGAAATTTTCAGGTAATTTTCTTGAGGGATAAATAAAAAAAATATTCTATCCTTTTACTCTAATCCCTTCCGTCTCATAGTCGCATTCTTTCGTTGGTTTTATAAGCGTTTAAAGAAAAAAAGTATGTTTTTTTTTAATAAATTATAAAAACATAAACATTTAAAAAAATATTGATGCTGTCTTAGGTGCTCATGAAATTTAAAAAAAGAATTTTGCTAACAATTATCGATAAAATTGTTAAATTATGACCTCTCGGTGACCTTCCAAAATACTCTAAAATTAATGGAAAATATGAATTCCGAATCACAGAGGAACCTTTTAGCATTACTGAAAATAAACGACTAATTCATGCTAACGGTGTTTGAAGAGTAGACATTCTACAATCCATATTTTAGTGTTTCTGTCATAGTTTTGTTTACGCCTGTTTATTTTCGAACAATGTTTCATGAGTTTTAAATTTTGGCTATGTCTTGAGTATGTTCTTATTTATAGTGTGTTACTGTCTCAATATAAGCCAGACAAACACTATAACAACCAAACAAGTCATGATTTTCAATTTTTGAAGTTTATATGATTAAAATAGATAACACGGGCAATGATTTAATGTCCATCGTATTTTAGTTCATATCCGTGTAATTCCTATCAATATTTCGTTATTTTTAAATTTATTTTGACTATATCCAGAGTATGTTCTTATTTACGGTTTATCATTGTCTCAAAATAAAATAAGGCACACAATAAGTATAAAAAAACCTAACAAGTTGTAATTTTCGTTTTTCAAATTTATATGATAAAAAAAGCTTAAATGGCAACAATTTAATGTCTCTGTCCCATTTTCATTCACTTCAGTTTTCTTCGTGATTTTTAAATTTATTTTGACTATATCCAGAGTATGTTCTAATTTACGGTTTATCATTGTCTCAAAATGAAATAAGGCACACGAATAGTATAAAAAAACCTAACAAATTGTAATTTTTGTTTTTCAAGTTTATATGATAAAAATAGCTTAAATGGCAACAATTTAATGTCTATGTCCCATTTTCATTCACTTCAGTTTTCTTCCGATCAGTTTTCTTCGTGATTTATAAATTTATTTTGACTATATCCAGATTATGTTCTAATTTACGGTTTATCATTGTCTCAAAATAAAATAAGGCATACAATTAGTTTCAAAGAAACCTAACAAGTTGTAATTTTTTTTCTTCAAGTTTATATGATAAAAATAGCTTAAATGGCAACAATTTAATGTCTATGTCCCATTTTCGTTCACTTCAGCTTTCTTCCGATCGAGAATGCTTCCTGATTTTTAAATTTATTTTGAGTATATCTAGAGTATGCTTTTGTTTACGGTTTATTACTGTCTCAATATAAGGCAACCAAGTATCAGACGAAACAAGTCGAGCTTATTAATTTTTAAAGAAGTTTATGTGGTTAAAACAGGTTACACGGCTATAACTTGATATCATTTGTGTTTCGAATGCTAAGAGTTAAGTATTAGCAATCAATANAATCCATATTTTAGTGTTTCTGTCATAGTTTTGTTTACACCTCATGTTTATTCATTACATTTTGTTTACACCTCGATTAATTCATGATGACGGTTTTTGAAGGGTAGACAATCCATATTTTAGTGTTTCTGTCATAGTTTTGTTTACACCTCATGTTTATTCATTACATTTTGTTTACACCTCGATTAATTCATGATGAAGGTTTTTGAAGGGTAGACATTCTACAATCCACATTTTAGTGTTTCTGTTTGTTTACACCTGTTTATTTTCGAACAATGTCTCATGAGTTTTAAATTTTGACTATGTCTTGAGTATGTACTTATATATAGTGTGTTACTGTCTCAAAATAAGCCAGACAAATAGTATAAAAACCAAACAAGTTTTGATTTTCACTTTTTGATGTTTATATGATTAAAATAGATAATACGGCAATGATTTAATTTCCATCGTATTTTAGTTCACTTCTGTGTAATTACTATCAATATTTCGTGATTTTTAAATTTATTTTGACTATATCCAGAGCATGTTCTAATTTACGGTTTATCATTGTCTCAAAATAAAATAAGGCACACAAATAGTATAAAAAAACCTAACAAGTTGTAATTTTTGTTTTTCAAGTTTATATGATAAAAATTAGCTTAAATGGCAACAATTTAATGTCTATGTCCCATTTTCGTTCACTTCACCTTTCTTCCGATCGTGAATGCTTCGTGATTTTTAAATTTAGTTTGAGTATATCTGGAGTATGCTTTTATTTACGGTTTATCATTGTCTTAAAATAAAATAAGGCATACAATTAGTATAAAAAATCCTAACAAGTTTCAATTTTTGTTTTTCAAGTTTATATGATAAAAAAAGCTTAAATGGCAACAATTTAATGTCTATGTCCCATTTTCATTCACTTCAGTTTTCTTCTGATCAGTTTTCTTCGTGATTTTTAAATTTATTTTGACTATATCCAGAGTATTGTCTAGTTTACGGTTTATCATTGTCTCAAAATAAAATAAGGCACACAATTAGTATAAAAAACCTAACAAGTTGTAATTTTTGTTTTTCAAGTTTATATGATTAAAATAGCCTAAATGGCAACAATTTAACGTTTATGTCCCATTTTCGTTCACTTCAGCTTTCTTCCGATCGTAAATGCTTCGTGATTTTTAAATTTATTTTGAGTATATCTTGAGCATGCTTTTATTTACGGTTTATTACTGTTTCAATATAAGCCGGACAAGTATCAGACGAAACTAGTCGTGTTTTTTAATTTTTTTAAACAAGTTTATGTGGTTAGAACAGGTTACACGGCTATAATTTTATATCAAATGCGTTTCGAATGCTATGAGTTAAGTATTAACAATCAATATTTATGGTCTTAAACGAAACACTATGACCTATTACTTCTCTTGGAGCAAATGAATTCTAGTAAAAAAAGTTAAAGATTATAAATATAACAATACCATTTAATAGCACATCCAGAATTTGGAGGCAGTTCCGCCTTCAGGTGTATTGTATGTCCTTCAGATACTTTTAAAGGTTCCAAACCTTTGACGAAATATGGTTTGTTTCCAGACAAACCTGGCATACCAGGCATCACTAGAAAAGTAATTAAATATCATTACATTGTTAATATGAATAAAAGTGTATTTAATTGCAAGTGCTCCTCAAACAAACCCTATATACCAGGCATCACTAGAAAAATAATTAATTCTCATTGTTCCTCAAACAAACCCGGTAAACGGTTGGGGCACATGGCAAGATACTGTCAAGTTGATGAAAACTGCTCTAGTTGTAGTGGCACAGGGAACTATACGAATGAATGCGAAAAGAAAATGTGTTTCAACTGCCATGAAACAAACATTAAGTTTGGCTCATTGCTGAGAACTGACCATAGCGTCCTGGGTTAGACCTGTGTCTCCAATTAACGGGCGGTTATAAGATATATATGCATACCTGCCAACTTTCACTCTTTCCGAGAATGGATTTTCAGAGTGGTTGTAAAACAATAAACGAAAAACAATCTGACTCAAAAATATATTTATATTTAGTTCCCGTTGAAATTCGCTTGAGCAAGGATTATTATGCTTTGATATATTTATTGTAATTATTTATATGTAGTGGTGGTCAAACTCATTTATAATTATCATTATAATTCAAAAAGTTGATTGGAATAAGGTGAGTACTGCTACCACTTTAAATATGAAAATAAAATCTTCCGGAAAATCCTGAAGAGTTGTCAGGTATGCATATATACCTTATAACAACCCGTTAGATATGTATATAATATATAGATATTATATATATATCCAACGAAGAACCAGATATTGGGACTAAAAACTGTCCGACCTTCGAGTACATTGTAAGCCATTACAGTACCTTTCAATCTGCCGTAAACATAACTTTTTTTGCCTCATGGTAATTTAATTTGTTGCTAAAATTTGTTCTTCTACCTTAACTATTGCAAACGAAATTTGTTCTATTGTTTGCAATTGTTGGTTCAAAGGTCTACCAGCTGGAGGGCTGCTCTCGGATCTTGGGGTGTATGCTGTCTCTCTTCTGTGCAGGGAAGTTGGCGTGCAAGTGTACAGGTAAGTTGGCACTGTCACGCTGTGGGATTTGTATTGAAGCTATTTACGTCCTCCTCTGTTCTCGACGCGCCTTGTGTTGCTTTTTGTCGCGTGTGACTCGGGCCTTGTGCATTTGGTCCAATTATTGCGTGGTCTCTTATGCTGCGTGGTGTTGCTTCTCGGCGGAGGGGCATCAAAACCTCGGCGTATTGGCCCCATGGGCCTGGGTCGCTTTAATTATTAAACTTACAGCTAGTTTCAGCGAAATAATTGAATGTAAGAAATGAATCTGATTGGTTATATGTTCTATTAAAAATGAGAGCTAGCAAGAATTTCACACATGCGTTATCTGTGAATTTCTGTGATACAAACTACGAATTTCTTTACTTATTTTTGTAAAAAATGCTCGCTAACGTGTTAATCGTCAAAGTGTCGTTGATGGTTCTGCAACAAAGGCATTTTGATGTGTGCTTTTCAGTGAAAGATTAAAAAGTGGAGGTTCACAAAACACTTGCTGTTTCCTCTATTTATCTACACAATTTGAAGAGTTTTTAGTTTTAATCATGATTGCTCAATGACTTTACTTACTGTTCACCACCGCTTCACTTTTTATTTCGACGTTACCGTCCGAAACAACTACAGCGTATCTCCCCCTGTCTGATGGAGTCATGTTAGCAATGCACAGTTTAAGTGATCCTGAGGAATCTTGTCCGATTTCTATTCTCTCTGAAGGTGGAATTTCTTTACCATCTTTTAACCTGAAGCAAGAAATTCTTTTTTTTTATACAATACATTCAAGAAAAAAAAAGTCGCCATACTTTTATTGACTCACAGCTGATAACTAAGAAAATATGTAAATGTAATTTAAAGAAAAAACGGTCCTAAAAAGAGCAAATGTTGGTAGTTACGGTACTAAACTTCCTCTATTTAGTTGATAGCAGTCAATTTTTATGAATGATAAATTTAAGTACGAAAAAGATAAATAATTACTCCCTCCGTCAAACATTAGTTGCACAGTTGAATATTTTTGTAGTGATTATGGATACTAATGATTTTATGATTTCATTTAAACATTTTTCGGAGGTTTCAGGGTGCTATGCTATCAATCAGCAACATTTATTACCAAGCATTCCCATCTTGAATCAGAACCAAAGTAGACCAAATACACTATTGGTGATTAAAATTGCTACACCATGAAGGAATGCAAATAACAAAATGAAATTTATTGGGCACATACATTATAGTTGGAAGAACAAGTGATTAAATTTCCAGGATATATCCTGAGGAATCAGTACTCAGAGCATTCTCCCCTGGCAGCAATAACAGCAGTTATTCTCCTGGGTATCGGGTCGAACAGAGATTGGATAGCAAGGACGGGTACAGCATTCCATGCAGTTCAACATTATGCCACAATTCATCGACCATAGTGACTGACGAGTGGTGGCGTGCCAGTCGTTCGGCAACCATTGACCAGACGTTTCCAATTGGTGACCGATCAGAAGAACGAGCTGGCCAGCGCAACAGGCGAACATGTTCTGTGTCAAGGAAGGTCAGGACAATGCGGGCAACATGCGGTCGTGCATTGTCCTGCTTAAAACTAGCGTTCTGGAGGCCTCAAAGATAAGGCAGAGCAACTGGCCCTAACTCATCATAAATGTAACGGCTACTGTTCAAAGTGCCGCCAATGCGAACAAGAGGTGATCGTCTTGCGTGATCGATTGCAAGACAAGAGGTGACTTGTCTTGCAAATGACCCCATCTGTTGACTCAGGGTTCGTGACGTAGCTGTACGATCCCTTAAGGCCACGTGGATAACATATCTGTCTTCTCGGCTGTTAGTGATGGAGGGCCGCTGAGATCTTGCTCTGCGTTCCATATGACCGTCATAAACCCATCGATTTTATATTCTGCCAACGTTCATGGGATCTCGACCAACGCGAGCAGCAATACTTCGGTATGATAAACCGCAATCTCGGTAGGCCACAATTCGACCTTGATCAAATTCAGACACGTGCTGGTGGGCATTTCTTATTCTTATACGAGAAATAACAAAAACTTTTTTACCCAAGAACAACACTCAAATTCAATTTCTGTATGGGAAACTTGCTATCAAATCTCTTCTTTTATACACATTGTAGGTTTCGCTACCGCCACCTGCTTTGCATAAATTCGCTGATAAGCTAATCATTTGCATACCACAACATGCCTTATCGGTTTAGCAAATTTCACGTTCGTGGTGTGTAACCTTCCTGGTGTAGCAATTTTAATGGCCAGTAGTGTATATCCAAATCAGTACAAAGCATTTGGTTACAAAAATTTAGAACTCGCATGCTCTCTTTTGTAAGCACTATTTTGTAAGGAATCTTCCACCAGTAATTGTATAAAATTATCTTCTTATTAAAGAATCGTGAATACAATAGTAACATAATCTTAATGGTGTCGATCTATTGAACTCTATCGGGAGTTACTCATGATTCCTCCTACTCGAAATGTAGCAACAAATTTGGAGCAATTTCAAGGACATAACAAGCCCTTATTAATCAATGCCTCAAAAAGCAATGCTTATTAAAAAACACCTAGAAGAAAAAAGTGGTAGTATATATTTGTTTTTATAACCAAGTGGATAATTAAAACAAATGTATACCATGTCTGATAGTATATGTTGTTATGGTGTAATGTACGTATTGTAATGGTAATGGCTATAAATGGTAGTATATATTTGTTTTTATAACCAAGCGGGTTATTAAAATAAATATATACTACTTATCATTATATTACTGTTACCTATCACTAGCTTTAAAAAAGTACTGCAAGCTTGTACGATTGTGCGGGTTAGATATTAACCCAATGTGTGCGTATAGTTATAATATATTAATTTTAAATCAAGTTTAGACTGAGTAAAAATATTCTACTCCTAGCTACCATATTAATATTAAAGATATATTAGCTCCTTCATCCCAAATAATTCGATCTTAAATTTAATAATGTATTCTAGTGCGCATGTAATATGTTTAATTTCATATATTAACGCTCACAATAAAATAGCTTTCTTAGCACTGTTTACGTTTTGAGTGATTTATAATAGAAAAATAAATGCTTCTAAACTGTATCAGGTTTTAAAGTTAATAAAATCGCTTAATATTTCCAAATATATTATATAAACCACGATACAGCCACCCCATAGACTGCTGAACTCAAACTGTCTCTTATTTTAACTTTTTATACTATTTCATGATGTATGGGATATGGGCCGGGTGCCCAATTTTTTATAAATAAAGAAAAGAAAGAAATAAACCACGATAGATTACAATATCGTGGATACGATACTATAATACGTGGATAGGATATAATACGATCCAAGATTATCCATATATCAAATAAATTATAAAATCCTAGTATATTTATGATAAATACGCTTAATGTTTCCAAATAAATAATCACTGGTTTTGTATTTTTAGTTTTAAAGTGAAAGCTAAATAAAATGAAATTCGTAAACATTTGGCAACACTTTTTAAATTTTTTAAGGACCGGACGATTCTTTTTAATCGGTTAAATTTGTAATTTATAAGGTGACATTCCGATAAATCCAAAATGTTAACAAATATTATTTTTTTAACTTTTTCTGTCATTGATCTTTATTTCTACTCTTAGATCATTGACAGAAGAAAAAAAATTAATTCTATTTCTTACCATTTAACTGATATAGGTTTAGGATCAGTAGTAACTTTTGCCTCTAAAGTACATGGTTTTCCTTCCGGTGCTAATTGAGGCATTAAATTTTGAAGAAATTCAAATATTTTCGTCGGCTTCTTGTCTTTGTCTGCATCACTTTTTGTTGTTGGAGCAACTGTTAAGTAAAAATAGGATAAAATTAATCTCTACGTATAAAAAATGGGAACTATATCTGCCTGTTTGCCTATATATATATATA